TTTTTTTTTCTTTTTCTCCCTGCTGAGAGAACAAGCAGCGCCTGTTTGATTTGTTTCGTTTGAAGCCTGGTAGGGATGAATGATTGCTGTGCTCCGTTGGTGCTGAGAGGGCGTTTTGAAGTTTGAAGTCTTTTAGTCTACACTAAAGAGAATTTACTTTTGAGTCCTCGTCTGAATGAGTCTACAACTGAAGTCCAAAGTGCAGCTAGCAAATTCAGTCTGAACTGACCAGCTGCACTTCAATACAACCTCAAATCAGAAAAAGTTGAGCTGGTAATGCCTGTTAAATTTAAATTAAATCAATCGATTATTTGTAAAATATTTTTGACCTGTATTGTATTGAAAACAATACAGCAGCACATTATTTAATGTTTTACCTCATTTTATTGTTTTTTTCAAACTAAACACTTTTCAATTTTGATTCTCGCCACATATTTCAAAAAAAAGTGGGATTGTAAAGCATTTGCCACTTTCTAATGTTGCTATTCCTTTTCACAACACTTAAAAGATGCTTAAGGACTGAAAACACCAAGAGATGAAGTGTCTCAGGTATACAGGGTGTTAAAAAAAAGACCTCATTTCGTAGTCTAATAACAGCCAATTCTCCCTCAAATGATCTCAAATTTTAACAAAATGTGCAAAAACTAACCAAGTTTCATTTTTAATGTTGTTTTTCAGGTTGAAGAACGGCGTTCACTAGAAATGAAAAGGCATTGTGTGTGTTAGAATACGCTCAAACACAGTCAAACAAGAGTGCAGCGGCATTTTCCAGAAAATTCAATAAAAATGCACCAACTGGAAAGCAGATTTGGACACGGCACAAAAAATTCAAAGAGGATGGCTGTCTGTGCTGGACAAAGGGATCTGGATGACCTCCAGTATTGGAAGATATTACATTTGTGAAGCTGTGAAATCGGTTATTAAATCTACATCCCTCTGAATTTCTTGTTCGAATTTTGATAAATAAATCTTGTATTGTTCAACATGAAGCCTATTTAATTTCGTTTGCCAGGACATGGAGTTACTCAGATACTCACATCTCAAATGATGTCAATTTTTTTGGGACACCCTGTATTTTCTTCCTGCAAACTAGTTTTAAGGTGTGCGAGGTGAGCGGGGTCTCGCATTTTGTGTTTTAAAATGGCCACATATTCTCTGTTGGGGTGAGGTCAGGACTGCAGGAAGGCCAGTCCAGCACACTCTTCTTTCACAGCCAGGACTTTGTAATGTGTGCAAAATGTGGTTTCGCATTGGCTTGTTGAAATATGCAGGGCATTTCTGGAAAAGATGTCGTTTTGAAGGCAGCATATCAAAGAAGCTACCTTTACCAAGAACACTGACACACCACAGACCATGACAGACCCTGGCTTTGGACTTTGCTGTAACAGTCTGGATGGTCCGTTTAGTCTTTGGTCTGGAGAACACATCATCCATTTCTTCCAAAAAAGACCCAAAACACTGATTCATCTGACCACAGAACACATTTCCACCGTGTGGCGGTCCATCCTAGATGCTTCCGAGCCCAGAGAAGTCGGCGGCGTTTCTGAGCACGAATAACATAAAGCTTCCTTTTGGTACAGTTAAGTTTTAACAGCATTTGTGGACGTAACTACTTATTATAGTGCTCGACAAAGGTTTACCAAAGTAATCCTGAGCCCACGTAGATATATCGCTAATGGATGAATGACGTTCTTGATGCAGTGCTGTCTGAGGGATTGGAGAGCACAGTTATTCAGTTTAGTCTTGCGCCCTTTACACTGAAACACTTCCAGATTCCTTGAATCTTTTAATTGTTATGTACAGTAGAAGGTGTTGGATCCAAATCCTTTATTGTGTTTTTTTGAGGGCTTCATTCACCAAACCGTTCCTTTTTAAAACCCAAAAGCAGTTTTTCCCAAAATTCTGACGTTTTCTTATTTGGGATTTGTTCTTAGGTAAGAACAGAATCTCAAGAGCACAAAGGTGAGAACAGTTCTGCGCTTTAAGAACACGTCATGAATCTCACTTTGTATTAGGACCTTTCTCAAGAACACATTTAAGATCAACCTTAGGAAGATATTTGTGGATGAGGTTTTTGAACGTTTCAATAATTTTATACACATTTGCTGCCAAACTGGCGACCCTCTGCCCATCTTTGCTCCTAAAGGACTAGGCCTTTCCTTGATGCTGCTTTTGTACCAAATCATGAGTACAATCAAATGTTGGCATCACCTGTTTCAAATAACATCATTATTGAAATATTTTCTCATTACTAGCCTTAAACTGCCTTTTTTGGAATGTGGTGCAGGCCTGAAAGGCAGGAATGGATGTATATTTACAAATGAAAAGAAACCGACCAGAAAAAACTACAATATTTGTGTTCATACTGTCTGCAATGAAATATAAAAGTCAAAGTAAAGTTTAGGAATCACTGCTTCCTTTTTTATTTGCATTTTCAATACTATCCCAACTTTTTTAATTCACAGTCAGTGACATACACAGATCAGGCATAACATTCTGACCACCTCCTTGTTTCTACGCTCATTGTCCATTTTATCAGCTCCACTTACTATATAGGTGCACTTTGTAGTTCTACAGTTACAGACTGTAGTCCATCTGTTTCTCTGATACTTTGTTAGCCCCCTTTTACCCTGTTCTTCAGTGGTCAGGACCCCCATGGACCCTCACAGAGCAGGTACTATTTGAGTGGTGTATCATTCTCAGCACTGCAGTAACACTGACGTGGTGGTGGTGTGTTAGTGTGTGTTGAGCTGGTACGAGTGGATCAGACACAGCAGTGCTGCTGGAGTTTTTAAACACTGTGTCCACTCACTGTCCACTTACTGTCCACCCTATTAGACATCCTACCTTCTCAGTCCACCTTGTAGATGTAAAGTCAGAGACGATAGCTCATCTGCTGCTGCACAGTTTGTGTTGGTTATCCTCAAGTCCTTCATCAGTGGTCACAGGACGCTGCCCACAGGACGCTGTTGGCTGGATATTTTCGGTTGGTGGACTATTCTCAGTCCAGCAGCGACACTGAGGTATTTAAAAACTCCAGAGACAAGGAGGTGGTCATAATATAATGCCTGATCGGTGTATCTAAAACTCTCCAGAAAGACTAAAGTGACATTTTCGTCACAAAACTGGTTCCACCACACTCGTAAAACAGAAGTCAAGTCAAGAGGCTTTTATTGTCGTTCCATCTATGTAAAAGTACACAGTGGAGCGAAATTTCCTTCCTCCAGGACCAACACGGTGCAACATGGAACAAAATAAGACAGACAGTGCAGACAAACGTGCAGACGTAAGTGTGCAGCATGATTGGTTGATTCCTCTGTCCCTTCCTAATGATGTTGGTAGTTAATCTAATGTGTGAGGCCTTCAGCCCAGCTACTGAAGTCCTGACCAATGGGAGAGCTCGCTTGGTTGTACCTACCTAGATACCACAGAGAAATCAATCCCGATTGGACAATTTTCCATTGACCGTTCCAAGAATTTAAGCCTTTTGTTTTTTAATCACAACTAAACTATGAAATAAGAGCATTACTTCGGTACTTGCCGAGTTTAAATCCAACAAGCTTGATGATTCTATTTAATAAAGATGACCTTAAAATGCATTTTTAGTTCCCACAAATCACTAGATCTTCTCTGAAGGCCTAGAAGGCCTTGAGGGTTCCCCACTGCTGGAACAATCAGCCAACTTAACATCATCATCACCATTGTTTCTCAAGAGCTATTGAGTTACTAAGAGACATATTTTCTCCATTGCACTGAAATCTGAAACTCATGAAACATAAAATTTGAAATATGAACATGCTAATGAGGGTAAAGGCTGGGAGAGGCTAGCAGAGAGGGATTTGGGCTATGATTAGTAAACCACATGTGGCTAAATAAGCAGGCTAATAAATGATTAGCGCATTAGCGGCTGTGGAAGGTAATGAACTGCCGGGGGAGGGAACCCAGCACCAGTAGAGCAGAAAAGAACTGTGGGAAGGGCAGATGGAGGGAGTGGAGGAAAGAGAGGAAGGTCATGTTTGAGCTATATGTCTTAAACTGGGCTGGGGGGTTTCTAAAATACTCCATTCACAGCACCGTGGGTTTCCACCAGGTAAACACCCAGAAATATGGCTGTTTGTTATTTGGCACTACAAACTATAAAAATGATAACATGATTAAGAAGATTTTATGCTGTATTTTTGAAATCGGAACCCCAAATGATCTAGATTTTTGCTCAAACTCAACTTGTTCCCCATGGGAATACAGCAAAAATGTGGATTATCTGGGTGTCCCTGAGAACCGATTTGGGAACCACTGGTCTATACAATATACAGTTCGATAAATTCTGCCTGGAAATGTCATTGTACACTCCCTGGCCACTTTATTATTCTTTTGTAGCGCCACCTTGCTGGTGTACAGTTAGTGACTGTAGCTCTGTTGAGGCACAGTTTGTAATAACTAATCTCTCATCCTTATCAATGGTCTGTTTCTGACCACAGAGCCGTTCTTAGCTGAATATTGTTGGTCCACTCTCCAACCAGTGACACTGACATGTGTGAAAACCCCTATAGCATCGCTGTGTCTGATACACTCGTACCATCGCCACACACATGACCATGTCAGTGTCACTGCTGTGCTGAGAATGGACCACCACCAAAGTAATATCTGGATAGCAGTGGACCTGTGGTCAGTAACTGACCAATGATGAATGGGATAGAGGGGGCTGATAAACTGTGCAGCTACAGATGGACTACAGTCTGTAACTGTACACCTACATAGTGGACGTACATGGTAGGTGTTTCTAATAAAGTGGCCACTGAGTGGAAGTGCAAGGTAGATGTTTCTGTTAAAGTGGACGAAGAGTGTATAATTTCCATAATAGCAGTATAAAGATTAGTGTCGCCACAAATGTGCTTCGAAACAGTTTTTATCTGAACGTGCATAAAGCTCAGCTCTGTACCCCAGAGAGCAGCTTCTCAGTCATAATTCATGCAATTAACAGGAGGAACTTGGTGTCTGACCTTGTAGATGCCCTGGTCACAGCCGTTGTAGGTGCTCTCCATGGTGTAGCTCCGGAGAACCCCCATCTCCCTCCACACCACCACCCGCGCCGTGGACGCCCGAGACTTCTCCACCAGGAAGTTACAGCTGTTAAAGGAGAATGCCGGAGCGATTCGGTCCAGAGTTTTAGCAATGGTCTAAAAAAAAAAAATAAAAATAAAGTGTGAAATTTTTCTGAGCTGAGACATTTAAAAAATGAATACATAAATAAATAAATAACACACATTGTAGGGCTGCATCTTTTTGTGTTGCTCAAAAAGATATTTTAATGATTTACTTTTGAAGAAAAACATTCATTACAAAGTTTCAGTTTTTAAAAAAAGCAACCTTGGACAAACAAAACAAACAAAAACCACAGGAAATGCAAAATCAAAGCTGTCAATACAGAATGAAAACAATGTGAATGTAGTAGAATGTTATTAATGATGTACGCATCATTTTTACTTTATCCTTTTTTTGCTTTTATTTACTATTTTATTGTAAAGTACTTTGAAAAGGGCGGCACGGCGGCGCAGTGGGTAGCGCTGTCGCCTCACAGCAAGAATGGCCTGGGCTCAATTCCCGGCCAGGTGACCAGGGTCATTTCTGTGTGGAGTTTGCCTGTTCTCCCCGTGTCTGCGTGGGTTTCCTCTGGGTACTCCGGTTTCCTCCCACAGTCCAAAAACATGCAGTCAGGCTGATTGGACATGCTGAATTGCCCCTAGGTGTGAGTGTGTGACTGTGTATGTTTGTATGTCTGCCCTGCGATGGACTGGCGACCTGTCCAGGGTGTATCCTGCCTTCCGCCTAATGACAGCTGGGATAGGCTCCAGCGACCCAGAAGGATAAGTGGTTTAGATGATGTATGTACTTTGAAAAGTAGCATGCATTAAAAGTCCTCTATAAGATATTATTATTAATGCAATTACATTTAAACATTACAAAACAGTAACTTTGCACATTTAAAAAAAAATGTTCTTCAAGGGTTCTTTAGTAAGGCAATGATTCTATATAGGACCATGAGTTCTGTATAGAACCATTTTATCCTTAATGTTTCTTTGCATGATGTATATGCATGGTGTATATGGTTCTATATAACACCAAAAATGGTTCTATTTTACAAGTCTGACATCGTAACAATGGGAGAACCCCATTTGTTGCTATATAGAGCCATAAACAACACATTCTCCATCAATCTGAAGAACCATTCCATCACAAAAAGAACTGTTTAAGCATTTATTATGATCTGTTTTTATTTATGAAACTTACTATTTCATTTTGAAGCACTTTAAAAAGCAGCATGTATGAAAAGTGCTGCCTTTACGAAAGAACCCTGGAAGAACCATCTTTTTTCAGTGTAGGATTGTAAAGGTTAGCCTTGCTCTACACACTTAAAATGATGGCCCTTCAAGGGTTCTTTAGTAAAGAAAATGGTTCTATATACATTCTATGTATGTGCTGTAGATGGTTCTATACATAGAACCTTTTTGAAAAGGGTTCAAGCTTGACATCATAACATTTTCAAAAAGGTTCTATATAGGACCATCTACAGCACAATGCATAGAAAATATAGAATATACAGAATATATATAGAACCATCTACAGCACAGTCTCTATCAATCTGAAGAACCCCTTCATGATGCAAACCCTTCATACAAAGGGTTATTTGTCTATGGTTCTATTCAGAACAGGTTTCTTTGCTGAAGAACCCTTAAAAACATTTTTAAATGTGTAGTATTTGTATGTAAACATTAGAAATAAGGATCTCAATTAACAAATAAAACAACAAACAAACAAAATGAGCTAAAGACAAACACTTTCGAAGGATTTAGTTCAGTTCCATCACTAAGAATGCCAAATGTTATGTCTCGGAAAAATCTGACTTAAGAGCAGAGTTTTTTCTTATTTGAGCACAATTTAACAGGCGTTATCTTTTATTCAAACAATGCCTAAACGTTTTTCCACTTCACATCCATTATAACATCAGAGAGCAGTTTGGCATGCAGACTTCCCCACGATTACACCTCCGTTCAGCTCCAGTCATTAACAACTGCCTTACAACTTCAAACCCTTTACAATGTAAAATGGTGAGTAAAACACAGATGGTTTGTCTTTCTTTGGCTCTTCCTTTAGCAAACAGGAGCCGAGTTCACACACAATAGCGATGTGCGGCCCAAACTGCGGCTCTGCCAATCAGAAGACAATAAAATCAGAAACAGAACAATGTTCCTCTGCTGCTTTTCTCATCTGTCATCTTCAAACATCTGCAGGAGACGCAGTGGCATCTGACTGAAGGCTGCATAAGAGAAACACAGCCAGTTATTCTGAATCTTCTCCTCCTAAAAGACTCACTGCCTCGTATCAGGAGCTCCTGCTGCTTCACTGAGAGACTGCAGGAGGAGAAAATCCATCTCTCTGGAAATCACGTTTGCCTCAGGTGTCACTAATATAGCAGAATAAACTGATACAGGGTTTGTACTTACAGTATGTACAGTTGGATGCAAAAGTTTGGGCACCCCTCAAATTACATTTTGTGGATTTTTTGATGACCATTTTCTGCTAAAATCAATTCACAGGTACTTTACATTTGCTTACCTAAAAAAAATAATAAAATAAAATAAACTAGTAATTGTGCCACGTGCAAAATATTGGATGTCCCTTCAGTTATAAAGTCTCAGGACTTAACTATCTCGTTGGGCCTTAATTGAGAATCAGAATCAGAATTAAGCTTCATTGGACAGGTTTGTTTACACATACAAGGAATTTGGTTTTGGTTTCAGGAGCTCACAGTGCACAGTATCAAACATGTACATGTAGTGAATAAAAGAAAATAAAATCAGATAAATTCCTACCATCACTCACTCATACACACACACACACACACACACACACACACACACACACACACAGTCATACCTAATTGACAAAATTGACTCATAGGACAAGAATCGTCATCAGGAATGACAGAAGTAACTGAGCATTAATAGTTGCTGTTTGCTGCAGAGGTTGTTTTTCCAAAAAAGTCAAGGAGATACACCAACCACACACTTTTTGTTCAGCTACTCACTTCTACAATAGTGTGCTTGGTGGTAGTTTGATTTTTCATTTAGTACTTTAGTCGTTTTTCGGTGCCAGTTTAGGAGGTAAGAGTGGGCATGTAGCAGTCCAAAAGGCTTTACTGAACCTCGTATTGAGTGAGGTAATGTAGTGTATAATTCCCCTTTAAAACCCCAGAAAGGCAGGGTGGACGTACCCTGTATCCCGGGTCCTCTTTGATCGAGGCTGTGTTGACCGGCGATCCAGACTGCCACAGCGTCTCTTTAACACTGCAGCCATACAGAAACACATTCTTCTTCCTGGAGTGACCATGATAATCACAGAACACCTACACAGAGAGAGAGAGAGAGAGAGAGACAGAGAGAGAGAATGAGAGAGACAGAGAAATGCTTTAATGTGATGAGCTCGGCATTAATTTGTCAGCGACTCATGTTAAGAAGAGCCATTTTGTCCTTTCAACAAAAATCAAACCAACTTGGGAGCCACAACATTTAATGTCCGTTTTGCCATCTTGGCTGTAGATCTGTCTCAGTATGTGCTGATGTTCTAGTATAGACTAAAAAATATAATGTAAATGAAAACGCAGACTTACTTTGCTCTGCTTTAAGCTTTAGCTGCTTTTCTCACATCTCCAGCAGGAAACTTTCCCTCAAAAGTAGAACAGCTTATTGTAAAATGTCTCTCAACGTTTGACTTTTTACGAGGCTGAAGTCGCTTCTCATTCACCAGATTAAATTTCCGGTTCCATAGTGTCTGAGTCACCAGAGTGTAACTGCTGCACCATTTAAAGTGGAGTGGGAAAATCTGAATGAGAGGGTGACTTCAGATTGACGACTTTTTAGTGTTTGACAGTTTCTCGTTGCAGAGAACCCTAACCCTATCTCCAAATTATCGATGTTCATCTTAAATCTCTCTGTTTGCCGTTTCATTATCTACTAGCTAGGCGAGACTGTTGTCTGTGTTGCTATGGTGACCAGCAGTCTGCGCTGATCTTCAGGGTTAAAGGGTGAAGTTCTACATTAACTCCAGCGTTTAAGACCATTTATTGTTAAACTGTGTTGAACGATCAGCAGAGCTTTATTTTACTGTAAAGGAGGATTATTTTATTATTACCTACAAATCTGATTCTGCTGAGGAGCCTCAACAGGACAGTAAAAGAGCCGCATGTTGCGACCCCTGGGCTACTCTGACCCATTAAACTATCCGTAGTTCCACCCTGCTCAAGCCCAGCTGCTCTGGCTCCATGATTTCAGTCCTTTGCTTAAATACAGCATTTAAAGGACAAGTTGCATTGATGGCTGTCTTGACTTGCATTGGCAAAATTACAGCTGACCGATCTCATACTGAACATCACCTCTTCCAGCCACTGGTAGACAATTCAGGAGCATCAAAACCAGCACAACCTGACTTTTCCCCAGAGCTCTGGTCTGGGGTCTGGGGTCTGGGGTCAGCTGTTCACTGTATATAGAATACAACACATAACTACTTACTCTAATAGTATGTAACATACTGTATATATTGTGTTTTATATATATATATCATTCATAGATATATTTGTAATTTTGTATATATTGTTTATATAGTTATATATTTCATAGATACATCATATTTATGTTATCTATCTGTTATCTATCTATCTATCTATCTATCTATCTATCATCAACCACAGTGGACTAACAATGGCTTCAACTTAAACTGAACCATCAAACCTCCTCACTGTATTACAGTAACTCCTCTGTTAATCTTATTTACACAACTGTACAGATTTTAATTTTTGCAAATATTCATTTCATTCTGTAATATTCTGTATGTAAATTTTTTATTCTATATGTCCACTCAGACCTGCATATGTACAGGTATTCACACTTCTCTTTAGCTGCCCCATGGCTCTTTATTATTCTTTATTTTTTATTATGTTTATTGTATCTCACTGTATTTGTCTCTTAGTTAGATACTTGTTATCTGTGTTCTTGTCTGGTCTGTTCAGTGTGTTAATGTCATACATGTTACTCAACAAGACTGACTCCTCGTATGTGTAACACATTTGGCAAAATAAAGTGATTCTGACTCTGATCAAACTTATTTCCAATTACTGCCATGCTGTGAATAAGTTTATCACTGAAGTATCAAGCAAAGCACAGCACTGTTCCTACCAATCAGCACCTTCAGCAGACTTTGCCCGACAGTGCTTGCAGGAGAACTATGGACAAATCAACAAGCAGCAAACTAACAAAAGCAGCAGCCTGGTGGAGCTGCAGTTCCCCTCAAGATCCTCCACTGTAACAAGAATCCACGAGCTGCATGAACGAGAGCGAGAGGCTACAATCACAGAGGAGCTGAACCACTGACTGTATATATGATATAAATGAAGTACAGTCGTATGCAGACACTCAATCAGCCCCAATCAAATGACGTTTTATTGATTTATTGAAGTGAAAATCCTCAGCAGTGAACACACTTAAATATGTCTTTTTCCTGCACATTTTAGTGCACAATTTCTATTTATTTGATGAGTTTAACATACTGGAAAACAAGAAGCCTCACTGAGAAAAGGAGACACACATCAAACAAAGAAGCTGAACAGTGGACTGACCACCCCAGAGTCCAGACCTCAACACCACTGAATGTGTTTGATTATTTCAGAAAATGCCAAACTTCTAAGACTGAACTTTGTTTTTTTCCATATTGATTTGCTGAGAAAAAATAAAACACAAAATATAAGCAGAATTTTGCACAGGCCACATTTTATTTCGCCCAATTTGTTAAATTCAGTAAATAAACAGTAACTGTGTATTAAAATGTGCAGACATTGGTCTCTGTAGAAGACGTCTTCACTTTTCTACACTTGGAAAATCAACTTTGACCAAGATAAAAGCCAAAATGCTTGAAAGTAAAGCGTGAGTCCTGAACACGTCCAGCCAGCTGACCAAAGCATGTACCCCAGCACTAACACTGACATGTACCCCAGCACTAACAAGTAAAGCGTGAGTCCTGAACACGTCCAGCCAGCTGACCAAAGCATGTACCCCAGCACTAACACTGACATGTACCCCAGCACTAACAAGTAAAGCGTGAGTCCTGAACACGTCCAGCCAGCTGACCAAAGCATGTACCCCAGCACTAACACTGACCAAACCTAATTAATCAACACACACACAGGGCAGAACTGAGGAGGCGTGTGTGGAGTGTGACAGTGCTGAACACTCTGTCTGTAATAAAGCGCTCTTGATGGCGACGAGGCTAATTGGAATCAGAGCAGATTCGCATGGTGGCCTTCTGGGTTCGAGCACAATTAGAAACGTCAATCCTGCCTTATTAATTGCGCGTGTCAAACAATCGTATTTCAGTTTGCGGCCAGCGGCGCGCTTTCCGCCGGCGTTATTCAGTGCAGGTACAATGCGTAATTATTACAGTAATGAATTGTGAATTGTATTGCAGTTGATTTGTTAGGCCAGCTAATTGCATCAAGTTATTGCGACCGGCACATTAATGATGACAGTTTAGTGAGAAATAAGAAAACACACACTCGACTGAATGCTTTTGTGATGGTCGTGCCCATCATAAGCTTCATTAAGTTCAGACCTCTGGCGTTCCAAATAAATTGCTCTGCAAACTGCTGTCTATAGCTTACATAATGCAATTAGCATCACTTTTGCTCTTGAACGTGTATAAAACCAGCCAAAAATGAGGAGTGAGTGTCTGTTTTTTATCATCTTAATCCCTTTTTCACAGCAGCCATGAAGTACATTTTCAGTTTTGTTCCCTTTGTTCTAAATTTAATATTTGTAATTAAATGTGAACTTTTTAAAGTACTTAATTACATTTTGAATTAAATTATTTTATTTGGCTATATTATTAAAAATATCTGACAAGTTCATTTCTATTCCAACTAGGAGGACAAAAGAAAGGGGTCTTGATGTAAAAGCTTATGTTAAAATGCTTGAAATTTGTTTTGTTTGGCTCAAACTTTTTCACTGATACTTGGACTTTGATAACGATTCTGAACGTCATCTTTTTTGATAGCATCTTTTTAAATTACAGCTTAAAGGAGAAATAAGTGTGGACTGCAAATTGATTAAGAAAGTATTATTACTATGAGTACATAATGTAATTTAGACAGCCAATCAGCACTTTAGATTTTGAAACAAGCTTGCTTATTGGCTTAGGGCTGCTGAGAAGATCGACTACTTAGGTGCCAAATTTGGTATTCAATCTCACTGAGTTCTTTGACAGTATTAAAGTAATTCAATTGGTACCATAAAGGTATTGAATGTAGTATGCATGTAGATTGACTTATTATGGGATGTTTTTCATCACTGACGTGTGTGTGAGGTCATTGTGCAACGAGCTGGATAAAAAACCTGGCCTGAAGGGGGAAATGCAGAGGGGATTCGTTAAAAAAAAATAAGAATCTTTTAAGGCTGAGTTGGCGTCTTACAAATGTGCCGAATGTGAATAATGTGCAACAAAAGCCCAGAATGCAACTTAATGTAGAGAAAAGGTACCATAATCTTCAGCAGCACCAACTAACATGCTTTAACCGCACTCTGTAAACCTCACCGCCGCTGCTTTTTCAGTAAAACTGCTTTGTGAGAACGCCTGCTGTAAAAAGCGCTATATAAATAAACCCTGACTTGACTTGACATCTCTGACATCAAAGAGGTGTAGTTATGTGTTTAAATATTTGCTACGTCACTCTTTTTAATGTCTGGCCTTAATTCGCCAAAAACAAAAGACTGACCCGGAAAGGACTGGTGGTCACCTCTGTCAAAAGTTTGTCCCTTTTTGGTCAGAAGCTCAGTCCTGATGGGTCCAAGAGCTGTTTTCGATCCATAATCACAAACTTAACCTGGCCTGGACCAAGTTAAGTGTGCAGCGTAAGTTGCCATGGCGATGCATCCCGTTAAAAAGTGACCCAAAATCATGAAAGAACATCCAGGGTTAGTTTGACCAAAATTGACCCCAGATGTAGCCCATCAGCCGAGACATGTTTGGGGAACAAGAGACTAAAGAAACCCACAAATGTGAGAATTTTCTCTGTTAAAAAATGACGATAATCATTGTTTTATCTTAGTTTAATGTCGTTTCAGTGTATTTTGGTCCTTTTCTTCATAACAAGCATAAAAAATGGCTAATAGCATGCTAATGTATCAGTAGCTAGCTAGCTAACTTTCCCGTTCCACCTTAAACAGTCCAGCAGTTTTGACACCTGAAGCACCAGAATGTATCCGCTGCAACATTTAAGGTGGAACTGGAAAATTCGAACAAGAATCTGGTGAATATCTGACTTCAGCTTCATATCACTGAAGAATTAGGGGTGGGTGATAATAAATAATTGCCCCCCTCTTTGAAGTCATATGATTCCCTAAATGTAACTAAAGCCCAGCAGTGAGGAGCTGAACTTTACCCTCCTCTGCTGTCACTGCAGACTGGCAGGGTCGCCTACAGAGCAGCACTAGTAGCTGTTAATGAAGTGATGCTCTTTTTATTTTTTTCTTCATCTAGGTGGTTTGCACCACCTAGATGAAGAGATGAGAGATTTTTTCAGAAATTATTTGGGTTATTTGGGCGACTATTGAATTTCAGTGTTTGTTAGCAAGTATAGCCTCGTAGCTCAATATCAAACGAAGCAAAATGTGTCTCCATGTCTTGGTTGATCTTGGAAGATTTTTTTGCCAAGTTATTATAAAGATAACAGGCTAAGTGAGACACCCTGCTTTAAGGGACTGACCAATGACCAGAAGGAATAAATATCACACGACTCTTAGCAAAATAGAAAGAACCGAGGAGGTCAGAAAGGGAGCGAAGAGCAACTGTACTATGTTTACACTGAGGAGTCTATGAATAGGGTTGGCTGTAAAGATGAAGCTTTTAAGAGAGCTACAGCACACAAGTGAATGAGGAGGTTAAAACGGACAAAAAAGCTAAAAGGACAGAGCTAAAAGCATAAAATGTCCGACACACACCGTCTGAGAACTGGGTCACATCTCTGAATCACTCACACAGATGTGGCGTTTATTTATTTATTTATTTATTTTCTAATGGTTTTGTAATTGATATCACTGATTCGTTGATTAGAGAAGCAAACTCAATAGTGTGGAAACAGCTTCATTAAGAGCTTTCTGCATTAAGCCCCTGTCTCGATACAGAACGCTCTCATTATATTCAGTGACAATGAAACATTATGATGGTTTTTGAAATTTAGACAAATAAATAAATAAAACAAAACACAATTCCGCATCGGCTCTGCACCCTAATAAATCACCGTAACACATACATTACACATGCGGACGGGAATTCAATTAAACTAAATGAACATGGATCTAACTACTATTCTGTGCTGGGCTGGAAAGTTTCTGCTTCATTTCACTGATGTATTTATGCCTCGTATCTTCTGTCCCGAAGTTTCACCCCCTGAGACTCGAGCCTGATCATCAGCACTGATCTACATTTCAAGCCATTCCAGCTCTCAGAGTCTGCGGCTGGTTTTTCACTGATTATCCAGATGGATTTCAGATCCTGAACTGGATTAAATTCTTAAGAGAAATGGCCAGATTTCAGGACTTAAGCCACTCCAGCATCCGACCACACAAGATCAGAGCAGTCGAAACTAAACTGATTTACAGCAAAGCCTTCATGTCCCAACGGCATCCCAAGGGTCAGATACAAGCAAAGCCTAGAGGCTTTTAAAGTCGCATAAAAATCTTCAAAGTCCTCATCTGTTATTCGAAAAACTGCAAAACTAGTAGCAGATAAAAGTGGAAAAGAGGCGTTTTCTTACAGCTCAATATGATAATAAAATGTAAATAAAAATAACAACAAAAAAAATAAAGACATCAGAATTTGTTAATCGTGCCTTTAGAGGGCAGCAGTGAGTAACGCTTATTTACTTGATGTTTGTTAATGATGCCTTTAGAGGGCGGCGGTGAGTGATGTTTGTTTTTTTGATGTCTGTTTTCTCTCTTAAATTATGACTATTACAAAAATTGCGGCCGTGCTTTTCCAGCTGGTAAAAACAGCTGACCTGGGAAACTCTCTCCCACTGTCCCATGACAGATTTGTGAAAGGCTCCACTGGTTGGTGAGTGTTTGTCATGTTCTGACCATAAAGGATAGTTTAAAACAGGAAATAACCACAAAGAAATAGTGATCTGACGTTTATCGCGATATGTATAGATATCGAACGATATGAATTTTGTTTATCGTGATTACATTTACGGCCATATCGCCCAGCTCTATTTCCACCAATGATAAAACAACATATACTCCCGACTCAGTTCAGTGTAAAAGAAAAATGTACATATGAAAGTCTTACCATCGGTGTTCTGCCGATGCTGTTGAGGTAGTAGAGGAATCCCTTGGCGTGGTAGATGGTGGGACTCAGGCTGGGATTCGGCTTCAGCCACTGTCTGTTCAGATCGTCAGCACTGAGTGAGCACCGATGGCTGTTTGAGAGGGGAAAAAAAAGAACAAATGCAGTTTCTGTTTTTTTTTTTTGCCTTTTGTTTTGTGAGTGTGACTCTAGAGATAGGAGGCAGATGTGTGTAAGCTAGGGCTGCCTGTTGAGACCAGAAATTATGGTAACACTTTATTTGGATGATCCACTGTAGATGCTTTGTAAATGCTCAGTCTGTCTCTTTTTTTTTTTTTTCCAATAACAATTTTTATTTAATTTTCAATTATGAATTAGAGGGAAAAGAGAAAAACAACAACAACAAAATAAATAAATAAAAATAAATAAATTAAGTAATAAAAATAAATAAATAAATAAATAAATAAACAAAAGGAAAAAAAACCCAAAATAAAAACCAAAAACAGAGGAGGGTAAGAAACTACAGAACCACCCCTCTAACCCATCCCACTAACAACAAGAGACAGCTTGCTAGACATAATGGTAGACATTCTAGATATTCCATTCAAAAACAAACACGTATAAATAAACGTAGCCATCCGCCTTCATAACAATGTCAAGTACAACATCTCGGCCAAACCTGAGCACATTCAACAATTTCACATATTTGACGTGGAAGACTGGAAAGGAATGGAGACCAGGTGCGCTCAAATTCTGTATCATTACCTTTAATTCTAGCATATAAGCGCTCAAAGGGAAGAATTTTCATAATTTCACTATGCCAAAGGTTAATTGTGGGTGGTCTGTCATCTAGCCACTTAATTAAGATACATTTACGAGCAATGAACAATAATTTGTAAGTGAGCTGGATCTGACGAGATGCAAGTTTAGTCTCATCCTTAACCATTCCGAGCACAAAAAACCAGGGGTCACTCTCTATGTTGCAACTGAATATCCTTTCAAGCTTTAATTTGATCCTATTCCAGAAGGAGGCAATAATGGGGCAAGACCAAAACATATGTGAGTATGTACCCACCTCTTTTTTACATTTTGGGCAGACTGATGAGTTTAGTGGGTCAATTTTATTTTGAATATAAGGTGTGTAGTGTAACTGATACAATATCTTAAACTGTGTTTCTAGGGTTTTATTGCAGACTAGTACATTTCCCATGTTCCTTATAATTTTTGATGCATCTTTATCTATTTGTGGATAATCCCTTTCCCAGCCTGATAGCACTGATTGCAGACTGCTTGGCAGGTTTGAAAGTAGTATAGTATAAGATGAAGATATAAAATTTTTGAGACATGCAGCCTGTTTTAAAAAGGAATCTATGGGGGTGCATATGTCTTGATCTACCGGGAGTTTTATAGCATTCTGTATATAGTCTCTAATTTGAAGGTATCCAAAAAAGTGTTTTGATGGCAAACTGAATTTTTCTTGTAGTTGTTGAAATGACATTAACATATCGCCCTGATACAGATCAGATAAAGACCGAATACCTGCTTTGTGCCACTGATGAAAAACACTGTTTTGCAAACCAGGGGGAAAAGCTTTGTTCATAATAAGTGGAGTTAAAGCCCATGATAGATTACCCCTTCCAAAAGCTCAGTCTGTCTTTAAGAAACATTCAACTACATATCCATTAAATTCAACTGAAATTCAAGTTCAGTGTAAAAGAGTTTATTAAATCTATTCCTAACCCTAAACCTGACCTTAACCTCAAGGCAAAACCTACATAATGTTGTTCATAGTCAACTGAACGTCACCAGAAAGTTTATTTTAATTTTGATTTGATTTAATTAAGATTGTTATTTTATTATTGTAGAGTATTTATACAGGACCATCCAAATAAACTGTGACCAAAATTACATTAGAATTTTTACATAATTTCATTCAGAATGGGTAAAGCTGTCAGGAGTTTTCAAGTATTGCCATAGATTTATAGATTTATGCTAAAATGCAAATGAATACAAACATATTATACATTTAAACAATAGAACCCGAGAGGGAGTGTGTTATCACAAAATAACATCATGGCTGTGATTTGGTGGCCGTAGATCATCACAGCCGTGATGTTATTGGCGATAACACACTCCTCGAGTGTTCTACTGCTTTTATACAACAGTTAAATAAATAAAGTAATAAATTAATAAACTGGGCCGTGAACGCGGCGTTTAATATGTTTTAATGTTCGCAGTTCCTTCACCAAATTATAGTTCCTTAACAAGCAGCTTGTCGCTATGTCAGAGTAACGAGCTCCGCCCACTCGCTGCACAGCCGGCAGTTCGTTCTCCAGCTTCTTACACTAAACTCCCAAACTGTCATCACCACTGAGCAGCTTTTCAGTCGGCAGCTGTGACAGAAGAACAGCTGAACAACCTGGAATCAGCCAGAAATACCATTCGCCAAACGTGTAGTCTGATCTTCAGAGTCTGACCAAATTGGACTGAGCCATAAAACTACCACAATATCAAGTTCAGCTCAGTTTTGTCAGTTTTTCCAGATCAGTATTAATGTTGTTTTGTTCCAGCCAGTCTGTAAAGCATCTTACAGCCCATTTAGTTTGGCGAACGGTGTTGGGTTCATTTCTGGCTGATTCCAGGTTGTTTAGCTGTTCTTCTGTCACAGCTGCCGACTGAAAAGCTGCTCAGTGGTGATGACAGTTTGGGAATTTAGTGTCGTCTCATCTTCAGAGTCTGACCAAATCGGCTGTCGGTCAAATGTGATCTTAAAAGTGTCTGTTTGTAAAAAAGTAAAATGTTAAAGCATTCAAATGGCTTGAGCATTTCCTACAGCTGTCAAAGTCATTGCTTAGCAACGGCGTCTCAGCGGAGTGATACAGTGTTTGTGAAAAAGTTAGAACGCTTTTCAACCAATCAGCTTGCGTGGCCGGAACTAACTGCTGTATATATGGGGTTAACGTGAGTTTCCTAACACTGATTTGTTGGTCATTTCAGAACATACTGTATATTCAGCATATCTACTGGAGAAGACGACTCAGCGCTGTGGGTCTGAAAGGATGTGTAGCTGTCAAGAAGAACCTCACTGAGAAGAGGAAACAGACACATCAAACAAAGAGGCTGAACAATGGACTGACCACACCAGAGTCCAGACCTCAACACCACTAGAAAAATATCCCCACAGATTTCTTTTAACATAAAGCAAGTCTCCCAAAAAGGAGCTGTAATAAAGGCAAACAGTGAAAACTGATATTATATTTAGATGTTGAGGCATCTGTGTAATTTTAAATATATGCTTTCTGCTTTTTTAACTTGAAATTATGAAGGATGGTCTCTGACTGTATGAACCAGACATATTATGTGTTCTACCTGAACCAATGCAGTTAAAAACCAATGTATGCACCATTAAACCAAGCAGCTTCTCCAAAAACCAATAAACAAGAACAAAGTATTGAGGAATTATTTCCTGAACGGCACCTTCCACCCTTCTCTTATCAGTATCCCTTCTGCATGGGTCTTGTAAAGGTCACAGGTGGACGGAGCTATCTGGCAGACCACACAGACACGGTGTTGATTAGAGGTCAAGGCCATAGCTCAGAGCAACTTCCCTGCTTTGTCTCCTGACACAATCATACTGGCATTTGGAGGCAGCACACACAGAATCGCACACAGCCCAATTACTGCACACAGTGCTGAGACATTAGCGGGCTGATGGAGCGCGTTCTGAACCCGGCTGTGTGTAATTGCCGCTCTCTCTTCACTCTCTCTCTGAAGAAGGATCGCATTCTTCTCCAGGCTCGACTCAGCAGCGTGGGCGTGCGGAAATATTTTCACTTAAATGTCCCGTCGGCACCTGAGAACACAGCCAATACAGCATAAGCCATATTCACATATTACTGCTGCGATTCAAATCATCGTTTCATGTCCAGAGACTACGCTGTGTTTTCATAGCAAATAAAAGAGACATCAGCTTTGTTTTTACTGCAGCAGAACAGCCGTGTGGAGTGAAACTGATGATCGGTTTGATTTTCTTGGCCCGAGTTACACCAAGATATTTGCAAATGTTGCAAAAATGATAAGCCTAGTTTTGCTGACCTGCTACACCGATCAGGCATAACATTATGACCACCTCCTTGTTTCTACGCTCACTGTCCATTTTATCAGCTCCACTTACTATATAGGAGCACTTTGTAGTTCTACAGTTACAGACTGTAGTCCATCTGTTTCTCTGATACTTTGTTAGCCCCCTTTTACCCTGTTCTTCAGTGGTCAGGACCCACATGGACCCTCACAGAGCAGGTACTATTTGGGTGGTGGATCATTCTCAGCACTGCAGTAACACTGACGTGGTGGTGGTGTGTTAGTGTGTGCTGCGCTGGTACGAGTGGATCAGACACAGCAGTGCTGCTGGAGTTTTTAAACACTGTGTCCACTCACTGTCCACTCTATTAGACACTCCTACCTTCTCAGCCCACCTTGTAGATGGAAAGTCAGAGGCGATAGCTCATCTGCTGCTGCACAGTTTGTGTTGGTCATCCTCTAGTCCTTCATCAGTGGTCACAGGACGCTGCCCACAGGACACTGTTGGCTGGATATTTTTGGTTGGTGGACTATTCTCAGTCCAGCAGTGACACTGAGGTGTTTAAAAACTCCAGCAGCTCTGCTGTGTAGCTGTGAGTTGTGAGGCTGATCATAATGAGAAAACTTCTTTGGAACAGCCGTTTAGATAAATTATGGTAAACATAAGCTGGATGTTTCTGTGTGAAACCCGTTCTCTGTTTTGGAGTCGGGCGTCTGAGTGATTTCCAATTCATTCTGTCAGCGCCTGTTTATTGCTGAATATTTGCACTGTAAATATTTGATGAACTGAGAGCTTTGCTGAAAATGACATCAATTACATTTTTCTCTCTCGCTCTCCCTCTGACTCTATTTTAAAGCGCCATCTTCTTCATGACAGCAATAATTCAGAAACTCTTTTTGGGCTCCCTCCCCACCCTGCCATGATGACTGCTGGAGGGAGGCTCTACATTTTGTTCTCTTTACGGTTCTCCGAAGCCTGACAGCTACGCCAACCTGCCATGCTTTTAAAGTGTCAACCTCTTGATTTTTCTCTCCGTCTGCACACAAGAACCC